AATATAATGAGGAAAAAATTGTGCCCCAGCTGTGGGGACATAGGCATAGGCATAGGATGTTGATAATTTATTTACTTTTCCCTCCTTTAGTTCCTCGTCTGCGTGTTAGCCATTGTAGCGTTTTGTCAAGAGTATCCGGCCGGTGTAAACACAGCGCTATGCCCTAACTACCCATACTGCAACACGCGGCTGTTCACTCGATTTACCATTGATGGGGAACCAACTCCCGAATGGTTCTACAACCCCAGAATCCTACCAGTTCCGCCTATAAAGTGAGTACGAAGTTTTTTTTTATTGCACCTGTTACTGCAATGCATAGACAAATATTTTTTTCTTTTACTTCAACCCACTAACAACTACAAATAGTTATGGGTAGAATAAAATTTTGTAATTATTAAGTTCGTTCAAGTAAGTAGCTTTAATTTTAATCTTAGATTTAATTTTAATTGAATTTAAACTATTTCTGTTCAATATTTTTCCTTGAATTTGTCGTAACATAATGTTACTTGTCAAGTTTAATTGTTTTACGTTACTGGAAAGAACCTTATTAATTTTGATACCCTTTAAAGTCTATAAATAGCGAAGATTTTTCATTATTTTTCAAGTTTTTGAATTAAAATATGATTTTATTTATATTACTGATATATAATAATCATGGGAAAACAATATAGTATACGCTATTATTGAAAACGATAACATAAATGGGACGACTAAGTATTTTTCCTTATCTGGCTCTTAAGCGTTTAATTCTAGACATTTTGTTATAAGAACAAAACTGCTTATTTGATTTTGATATTTTAACCCCAGGTTTATTTAGTTTACGAATAATAATTTTGAAAATCAACCTAGTTCGTGGAAAAACCGATTAATATACCTTCTTCTTTACCGATTACGAAGTCTATTGAAAATGCATATAGATTTTTTTTACTTCAAATTAACTTATATATTGTTGTTGACAGCCCTGCTCTTGTTGCTGGTCCCCGGTACCCCGTCGCCTTCCCTCCTGCTCCGTGCCCAAACTACCCTTACTGCTACTAGTGATTCAGTGAAAGTACAGACTGTCCTAGAATATGAATGAATGTCTAGAAAAAAAATTAAATGAGTATACTAAATAAGTTTATTAATCATATTATACATTTGACATGTAAAAACATGTATTATGAATTGTAAATAAATAGACATGTAAATTTTTGTAACTATACAATTTTTATTTTTTTGCACAAGCCTTATTCGATATATGCGTGACGTTTTGAACGCTTAAAAATGTTGGGATCATATTAAAGTATTATTAATACGGTTTTTTGTTTTTTCTTTTATTTTAACTTTTATGGTGACGACACATAGCATATTTGCTACGGACCTGTCAAACAACAATTTAAACGTAACGTTTTACCTTAGTTTTACTTTATACATAAATAATCTTATTATTTATTTGCATAAATTACCACACTGCTTCAGCACATGCCTTCTCAATGTATGTTCGATTCGATTATAACCCGCGAGGTGGGTGGGAATAGGGACAACGGACTTTTATAGCCCACCCCGCGGGCTTAGTGTGAATTGGTAGGTGTTAGCAACTACAGATGCAGCCAGGACCGATGGTTTAACGTGCATCCGAAGCACGGAGTAGCTCGAGACAATACATTTTTGATCACTCATTCTATGAACAGGCTTTGCAGAAACCTTTCTTTATTCAAAAAACAACACAGGCTTACTTAGTAGCACAAATGTGTGAATTGTATAATACAAGATCTTAAATCCAAAACATTGCTTATAAAATATACAGTATGCAACCGCCTAACTTGCATAAAATAATAAAATAATAAATTCCTCATTAGTTGATAAAAACAATGAAACATTTGTATATAGCTATGGATAGCGAAGGAGTTAGGCTATCGCGTTTCGGGACAAGCCAGTACACTATAAAAACCAGGATATGTTCTGGTACAAGAGTGTTAGCAAATCTACCTTTAAAAAAAAAATCATACCCTTGGTTGGGTACTCGTTCCACTATTACTAGTCCTAAACAACAAAATAGTCGCAGGAAATATGTCGAATGCAATAACTAAGCTCCACTCTAAGTCCTGGAGCCCATCGTCTTTATCAAGAGTTAAAAAAGAAAGTCTTTGACAGGTCAGGTGATCAGAAGGCTGGTTTGTACCTCGCCCAAAGAATTAGTTTAGCTATTCAAAGAGGAAACGCTCGCAGCCTTCTGGGTACCTTACCTGTAGGCATTGATCTGGGAGACATTTTTTATTTAGTGTAGTTATTATTTTAAGACATAGTTTAGGTAAGTAGTTTTAATTTATTAGACCTTTTATTCAAACATTGTTAAGAAATAAAGATTACAGTGTTTTCTGCAGCTCCCCTTCACAGATTCACTAAATATGTTATTTATCCTACTAATATTATAAAGGGAAAAGTTTGTTATTTTGTTACTTCTTCACGCAATAATTACTGAACGGATTTTGATGTATAGCAATTCTTAGTCCCCAGGCCACTTTTTATCCCACTAAAAGGTTCCCTAGGGAAAATAGTACTTCTAAAGGCTTTTTGTGAACACTGCCTAATCGGTAAGAGATATACGAATGCTTTCTAAAGAGTTGTTGTTGTAAGTTGGTACGTTTTAAGTTATCTATAAAAAATCCGTGATGGCATATAGATATGTGTGCTATGATTATTACACAATAATAAAAAAAATCGTAAAAGTGTATTAAATTTTTTTGTCCATGCTTAGACGTTTATTTGAGTAAATCCTTATCGAAATAAATATGTTTCTCTAAAAAACAAATGTACATGAAATTTTACACCAAATAAATTGGATGAGTAGTTTAAATTTTACTACGACGTTTTTGAGAAAAGAAAATAACATATATTGCCGGTTTTCTAAACACTATTTTGTTAGCATCTATCATTACGATTTAACAGCATTTTTTATGTATTCAGAAACATTTAAATTTATAAAGTCAGTAGTAATTATATTATTGTTTAACTAATAAAAAAAATGAAAACAATGTTGGTTAACAGAGCGTTTAGTAACAAGAAACACCTATTCAAGGCGACATTGGCAGTCTACATAATTCATCAACCAAGAAAATTATCTGGAGTAGTGTAGGGCTTATGTAGTATTGGGGAAGAATGAAAAATATTAACTACGATCGATTAAATAAGTGCTGGAAATTAACTACATTGGCTTCGATTTGATTAATATTGAATTTAATCAAAATAATAGCAACCCCCTAAATAATTATTTTATTATACTTTTAATATTTGTTATTATAGCGCCAACAGAAATAAATCATCTGTGAAAATTTCGACTATCACTGTTAATAAAATTGTTACAGCCTGGTGATAGATGGACAGACAGATAGACAGACGAAGGTACGGACAGCAGAGTCTTACTAATAGGGTCACCTCTTTTATCTAAAAACTAATCTCATTACAAAAAAATCTTCACTAAATCATACTATCGCATTTCCATCGATAAACTAACTAATATCGAGGATGCAGTATACTACTATTCATACATATTTTGGTATAGTTCTTCTAATCAAGAAAGCTTAAACTCCATTTTTCAATAACAATATTAAACATAGTTACGTTTACTTGCAGTTTTTTAACTTCTATTTAATTACAATGAACTAGACTAACAGTTAAGGGTTTAAAAGATAATTTTATGCCTATTAGAATAACCAATCAGAATAACACTCACTCGAAAAACTATCTGTTAAATTAATAAATCCCAAGAACAAACCTTCACTTTGGCATTAATTTTATGAAGTAGGTACAAAGAGCTGTGATATTTTTAAAAACTTTACCTGTTTAACCGGAGAATTGGTCATCTTTCTTCGTTAACTATCCTTACTAAAAATAAAAGCAAAATTAACTCGGTATGAAACCATTTAGATGAAAATTTGTGTTAAAAGTATGAAATTATAAATAAGATTTCAGAGATTTCATACCGGAATCCTACGATGAAATGAAAAGATGGGTAGAAGTTTGTATAGATTTTTAAACATTCTTAAACATGCTTCTACTTTACTTTAAAACCAATGATTTGTTTTTATATCAATTTAAAAAGGATTTAAACTTGGAGCAAAACGATTATAAATTTATCGATTAATAAATAATTCTTATACTTATAAATTCAATAAACTCAATTTGGTAGCGGATAAAGATATAATGACTAACTTTTTACAAGTCCGACTTCAAATGAAGTTTGAATTTGAAAGAATAAGAATTATTTTAGGTCTGTTTCTTTCTCAATTTCGGCAAAGTTTTAATGGAATTATTTCAAGAATATACTCTTTCAAACAAAAAACGTGCCACTGGGAAACAAGGGAACAGTTAAATTGAAAACCTACTTTTTTTTAAATTTAGTTAAGAATAAACTACTGTATATAATACTAAAACGACGCAAATGAAGTTGTGGGCAAATGCTAGTACAACAACATACAATTATAAAACATGATTCCAAAGGTTATGCCGCTAAATGAACATTTGAAATAATCAGTGAAAAAATTTAATCTATACGAACTAAGACCTACTTTGCTCTACATACTCTCTGAAAAGTATGGCAGAGAATGTCGAAAGCTCAGGTTTAAAAAAATATATATTTGTAGACTTTATTACGTCATTTTTATATTATCTTATCAGTAAGCCGAATTTAAAATAAATATTAAATAGCATCTTAAACTAAAAAATAAAATTCTTTCAGAAAAATCAACTAACAAAATTTATACTCAAATTGTAGCTTTAAAAACTAAAGCAACACAATAAGTATTTATTCAATTACCATGTAATTTGTTACTTGTCCTGTGTCGTGTGCAAAATTATTAATTATAAAATTAAAGTAAATTATTATTAATTTTTACCTTTTTCATGCAATTTATTCCTAATTGATATACTCGTTAAATTGATTCTTACGAGTATAAATACACTCGCCAGCTAGTTCAACATTAGTCTCAGTAATTAGCTCGAGGAAGTAACATAAACACAAAATGTTCGCAAAATTGGTGAGTTTTTTAATATCGTGCTATTATTTAATATTATAGACGATCGAATAATCAGCTAGATTCCTTTGTGAGTTCGGTAAAAATATATATTTTACAATTTCAGTTCATCGTCTGCCTGTTGGCCTCGGTAGCGGTGTGCCTCGAGTACCCCGCTGGTGTAAACCCAGCGCTATGCCCCAACTACCCATACTGCAATACCGGTTTAGTCCCGCGGTACACTTTTGACGGAAAACCCATATCAGAGTGGGTTTATAACCCCAGCGTTCTACCAGTTGCACCTTTAGAGTGAGTATATTTTTTTGTTAATAATGAAATAATCTTTGATTAAATTTTAGATTGGCATAAGTTATAATTAAAAATGGAATAGTATAAAGGTTATTTTTTAAATACAAACCATCTCTAAAAAGTATTATATACATAGAAAACAGGTATTTTTAATCTTGAATTTTTATTTTAAATTCAAGTATGTATTAATCAAAAGCATCTTTAGTATAATTTTCGTTGCACCGTTTCTTATCTGTTGCTTTAATAATGGAAAAAGCTATATTTATGATATCCTTTAATTGATTTGCTAATCAAGGTTAATTTAGTATGTATTTACTTCTAATGATTAACTTTATGCTTTACGTTAACAGGCCTGCTGTTGTCGCTGCCCCTCAGTATCCCGCCAACTTCCCCGCTACTTTCTGCCCGAACTACCCTTACTGCTTTTAAGGAAAGAAGAACAACTTTTTGACAAATAAAATTGCTTTAGACATCTAGTCACTCAGTGAAATGTTTTCACACTAGTTATTTCAAAATCTTTAAAAATATATGTATCTTTTTAATGTAATCGTATGCGTTTAACTAATATGTATGCGTAATAACTAATTTGAATTATACATTGTAACTGAGTATATAATAAATACATACCTATATAATTGTGTATACCTTTGTATTTTTATTAAAAGTTCACATTGCGACCTCAACTTTATCAAACATGTATTCAAATTCAATATAATTTTCAACAGCACAATATTACAAGCACTTGTGAAAGTCAAAAGCTATAAAAGCAATATATCGGTTCGGAGAACCCGTATTGTAAAGAAACAACAAGGGCAGCTTCTTTCGCCCTGTTTCAATACAAAGATGTGCATACTTCATTAGATTATAAAAACTTTTTAAATTACAATATGAAGAATTACAAAGCGAGATATTTTTCTTTTCGTTGATCGATTAATATACCAAGTCATATATATTCCTTGGCAATAATATAAATATATAGTAATTTAAATTATAGATACGTTGAGTTAAAATGTCTCATGACGTCACATTTTTCTACATTTTCTATTAAACAGTGACGTAGCGAGCCCCCACTTCTCAACTTTAATACATGTTATCTAAGCTATTTCTTGTTAAATTGAAGTAAAAAAATGGGTACCTAATATTTTTCTATTATCTAACTGACGGGCTAAAAAGAATTTCTTTTTTTTTACCCATCAAAAATAATCTTTTATCATTAGAATACACATGAATATTTTCTAGAATATTTTCTAAAACTTAAGGATCTAGGATAAGGATAAAGATTAAGGAGGAATATTTTCTAAAACGCATGAATACTTATACTTTCTGAGAATAAGTTACGCAGCTGGAGCGGATCGTGGAACTTGGCTCGAAATTTAATCAGATATAATATATACATCAAATGTGCTAGCCAGCTTACAAGACGTTTTAACTCGTCTCAATACACCAAAAATAAAAGTGTAATGTATATGTTACGCTCGAATTTCGAAATCGCTCATTAAGAGAAAAAAATAGTTCACAACGGGTTGTAGCAATCGCAAAATAACCACATAGCGAAATCCGTGTAGCGGCTGACATGCAAATCGGTTATTTTACTTATTATTTTACTGTGACCATAACGCGTTGTGAAAAATTTTCTTACTCCATGAGCGATTTCGATCTTTGAGCGTAACATATATATTTATTAACCAATTAATATTGTTGTAGTTATAATTTCTATAAATAATATCATAATTTATTAGAACGCGTAATAATATACAATGAACAAAATTAATTAGTGCTAGAGCAGACTCTTCACCACTGGCGCTAGAGGCAGTAATGGCGTCGTTAAACCACATTTTAGAGAATATATTCACACACACAAACCCACTGCAGAGACATTTAAGAGAGCATATGATAAAAGATCTAATTTGATTAAATATCTGCAAGACACTGCATAAATATATATATTTTTTATCATGATTTGGCGAAAATATCAAACATCATATCTTTTTATCGCTTATCATATCGCTAAGTGGCTATACCACCAGCAAGGCAGCAATAGTTTTAGAAGATTAAAATAATGTTTCTACTTTAAATTTAATATTTCCAAACTGTTATTTATTTGCTGGTGGTTTAAATAAATAATTTGTTAACTTGAGAGATGAGATTACATGTAACATATACATTTCCAGTATTTTATAATGACACCATCGAGTACCTGCAATCCTATTCTGTGATAAATTCAGCGTAGAACTCAGGATAATAAGATTTTAATTTCATTATGTATAAGCGCTGTGATCGACGTCACATTCGAGGTTGATTTGATTACAGATAGCATAATTGCTGAAATAAATTTTAATGTGAATTAACTGAGCCCTAGCTCAACTATTCTATTTACCTTTTTTATGACTTTACTGTAGGGAAAATGCTTTAAGTATACTCACCGCCTGGCTATGTGGGACTACCCTCTGTAGGTCCATCCAGCGGTTATTCGTTCAATGGACCCACAGGGGCCTTCCCACTAAAAACCTATCAGTTATAAGTAGAAAATTTCTAGTGTAATAATGCAATGTGTAAGTTAAGATAATAAAAATAAACAGATAAGCAAAATAATACTCAAGACCTCATATGTACTAACAATATTAAAAAGTAAAAAGGGTAAATCTAGTCTTATAAAACAATAAAAACCCCGCTAAAAATCATACAGTATACCCTCACGTATACTATATATGTAGGGGTATTTACGGGATGAGACCCGGAAATGCGTAGACTAGTCACCAGGGCACGGGCCCTATTTTTACCTCGTTTTCTTCATTGTATTATGAAGTATTAAAACAAACATAGTAGTCGATTTGAGTAGTTAATACTACAATACTAAAAGTAGTTCTAGTTATTTGATTAATTTCGTTTAGAAAAATCATCCAGTACTAAGTATTCATATTTTAAGTTTTCTAAGATTATATTGGGTTGGCACAAAAGTAATGAGACACACTAGAAAAATCTATAACATTTCCTTTTTAAAATCAATTTTTTCGATAATATTCTAGAATGTTGTAGAACATTCTAGGTACTTCTGGTGTAGGGTATATAAAGCCGCGCTCGCGATTTGTTTAGTCAGTTTGAAGAAAAATGGACGAGCGACAAGTTCGAACACTATACTTATACGAGTACTTGTTAGGCCACAGTGCGCGGGCTGCGGCTGACAATATCAACAATGCATTAGGCGCTGGAAGTACAAGCCATGCGATGGTGTCCCGATGGTTTGACCATTTAAATCAGGAGACAGGAGCCTTGAAAGTCAGCCACGCTCAGGGCGGCCACCCGCAGTGAATGATGACGATTTGCGCCGCGAACTGCAGTTGAATCCGGATGCTACCACTCGTGAATTAGCGGAAGCACTTAAATGCAGTCACCACGCCGTGGAACACCATCTGCATGAGCTTGGTTATCGAAAAGTTTTGGCTCGGTGGGTACCGCACATCCTTACAGACGCCAGTCGTGCAGTCCGTGTCGCTATCTGTCTGTTACTTTTGTTGCGACCCCGACGTAAAGAGTTTTTGTCAGATCTGGTTACTGGAGATGAATCATGGATTTATTACGAGAACGATACACACGTCGTGCTTTTTGGCTGCCTCGAGAAGAAACGCCACCAACTCAACCGAAGCCGAGTCAAAAGAACCGCCGCAAAATTCTGCTTTGCTGTTTCTGGGATGCGCAATGCATACTGTTTTATGAGCTATTACACAATGAAACTATAAACGCTGACAAATATTCAACCCAGCTTACCAAATTATCTGCCGCTATCAAGTAAAAACTACGAAGATGAGTCAATGTAGTTTTACTGCACGATAACGCTCGACCTCACGTCGCATCTGTGGTTCGCCGGCAGTTGGAGAACTTGGGCTGGGAGACGATACCCCACCCACCTTATTCCCCAGACCTCGCCCCATCAGACTATCATTTGTTTAGAGCCCTGAAACAGCATTTGCGGGGTAAACAATTTAATGATTTCTCTGACGTAGAGGCGGAGTTGAACAACTTTTTCGAGGCACAGCCATCAGAGTTCTGGGCAAAAGGCATCCAAACTTTGCCGGATCGTTGGCAAGAAGTCTTAGATACTAATGGTAATTACATCATTGACTAAACTTTTTTTATTGTAATAATAATAAAAAAGTAAAAACTTAAACCAAGTGTCTCATTACTTTTGTGCCAACCCGATACATAAAACAACTTTTAAACGATTTCATCGCGTTTGTATTTAGTTTTATAATTTTTAGATTACGGTAGCCAGGGGTAAATAAATAAGTCAAATTTATTTTTAATATTATTTAATTTAATAAATGAAAACTTTGCCATAAAATATATTTTTTATCGTGAATGTGAATTGGTTTTTTAAGGTACTTACTTTTAATTAAAAAGACAATGAACACCTTAGTCCTATGTGAACACGGAACCTGTTAAGGGTCCAAAACGTCATAAAACTTAATATAAACGATGTTTAAAAGATGTTTAATTTATGGAAAGTGTGCGTCAAAATATAAGAAATCAATATTCTCTATGATTTTAAAATATAAGAGTTTTATAAAAAAGGAATATTCATTTGTTTTATTCTTATTACCTCACCGAAACTAATCGATTAAAATTGATATGATATTCTCATTAAGTAGAATTTAACGAGTACCTATAAATAGAGTCAACGGCTGCAAGTCGACATCAATCTCAGTGTTCATCTAGAGTAGACAGTCACATCAAAGAGTTATACGTAAACATACAATGTGCACTAAATTGGTGAGTGTTCTATAAAGTTAATTATAATTATGCGTATACTAATTCTCAGTTCGATATTATCTTAGTTTCTCTTTCTCAGTTCATCGTCTGCCTGTTGGTTGCGGTAGTGGTATGCCTCGAGAGCCCCGCCGATGTCAATCCAGTCTTAGAAGAAACAAATAAGTAAGTTACCTTCATAATAACGTACCGAATACGGTTTCTATATGAGCGTGTCGTTACGCACATACTAACAAATTTTAACGCTCTAATAGCTCAGTAACTCTGTTTCGTCGCATGCATTGGTAAATAAAAAAACCTTTAAGCGGTAGCCCTATGTATTTAAGGTAACAGCACTAGCTCGGGGCTCGAGTCATCCTATTCACGAGTGTTTGTTTATACAACACTGCAACCACCCTTACCTCAATACTGATATGATCCTACGGTTCACCTGTTACAGAAAAGTTTACAACTCAAGCCTTACCTTTAATAACCGAGATATGTACTTACTAATGAACAAAATATTTTTTTTTATACTTTATAGATATTAATTTTACATATTATTTGTCGACAGCCACCCGGTTGTCGTAGCCACTCCACAGGAAGCCGGCGACTACGACCCTTTTTATGCCGTAACCATTCTTTCTATATTGGAAAAAATATCTTTCGCTTTAACAGACAATTTCCAATATTGTTTTATACTTCCGTAATTTTATAGACTTTAATCGTACGTTAGGTCATCTATGAAATTGGCAGGTCTGCTCAACACTTACGATCCCATTTATGTTATATTATGTTTGTATAACGAATTGTAGTCTAAAAATCTTTTTCTTAAAAGCTAAAATAAAGAAGTTTGACTTCATTTAGATACTCTAGTTTATTGTTGATTTTTACATATTTTAAATAAGATTAGAGTAAGACATTTGAAAGTTTTTAAATATACAATTTAACAACAAGAAATAGTATAAGAGAAAATTTTCATAATATTCACTAGAAAATTATCAAGTAGATAATAATGCCGAATGAACCATATGTCTTCTCATTTTGTACATTTTGTAAACAAATTGTGATTTTTTGTAAATAAACTTAATTTTTATTTTTCCTTGTTTAATTTAGTATTCCTTTTCTTACTTAATTATAAGGTGTTTAGAACTAAAACGAAAGTCTCACCTGTTTCCATCTCTAACACCTCATATTATTTTAATATTGATTACGTAAATCAAATTGAAAGTTCTTAAAAAAAATAAAAAGAGCAAAAAGCAAGTTATTAGTTTTATCATGTCGTCGCCATAGTCGCGTAATAACTGTACATCCGAAGAAGTGTAAAAATAGGGTCCGCAGCCCTATTTCTTTTTGTGGATTTTGTGGATGATTTTGTGCATTTGGCTCATACCACCAAAGCTTGTCTGAATCAGCTGATAGGTCAGTTTCGCATGTTTTCTTTAGTCGAAAATCATAATAAATTAATACATGTATGACATTGAAACTGCGTTATGCTAACAATTTTCAGTTTGTCGTCAAAATGATACGTGTTCAATATTTTTCAATAGTCTACCTAATGGACTAACAAACAAGTTGTCATCCCTATTTAGTAAAAGATGAACAATTTAAAAAATATTTCCTTTAATAAACTTTTTGACACGTTAGTATTTGGTCTTGACTGCAACTGCAGTCTAATCACTAGTCTGCACTGAAACAACGCGTTGGATTCTCCCAATTTTGTTTCATCCATTAGGAAGGCCTGTCTATAGAAAAACCCTCGCAGTGGGAACATCTATAGGCTAATGATGATTAACTCTATAGGATGAACTTCCCTGTCGGATATTGATGACAAATGAGAATTAAACTAGAGAACACAACAAGACAAATTACAAAAAGAAATGATATAATGAAACCTATATTTTTCTTGTTCTCGTTGCAGTTTTCTTTCGATTAAGATAACATAATGTAAAGTTAACATTACCTATTTTACGATGTTGACCCGTGATTTAACTAGGTGACACCTTAGAAATGTTTTCCCGTTTTTGCATGCGATTTAGTTCTAATTGATATACTCGTTAAATCGAGTATATATAAAGTCGTCGGTTGCTAACCATCATTAGTCTCAGCGTTTTACGAGAAAATAGCAGAAACACAAAATGTTCGCGAAATTGGTGAGTATTTTATTATAATTTACAGAAGAATAATATATTTGATACTCTGGTGAATCTAACATAATATTACTTTTTAATTTTTCAAGTTGATTGTCTGCTTGTTGGCCGCGGTGGCGATGTGCCTCGAGTACCCTCCCGGTGTAAACCCAGCGCTATGCCCCAACTACCCGTACTGCGATGCCGGTATGGGCCCACGGTTCACCATTGACGGACAACCCATACCTGAGTGGGTATACAACCCTAGCGTTCTACCAGTTGCACCTTTGGAGTGAGTATAATATTAATTGACATTTTTTCAATATTCAATCTTATTTTAGCCGGTTATAATTAAAATAATAAAAAAAAAAATTGTATTAACCAGTTGCACCTTTTTCTTGCTATTATATTCGCATTTATTTTAGTGTTTATTTATTTCATGACGTTTAATTTTATATTATCTGTTTTTAGCCCTGCTGTTGTCGCTGCCCCCCAGTATCCCGCCAACTTCCCCGCTACATTCTGCCCGAACTACCCTTACTGCTTTTGAAGATAGAACACCACGACACCTTATGATATTTTATTTTAAAAAGTGAATAAAGATTCTCTAGAAATCTTGAAACATTTAGTATTACTCGAGACTAAAATCTAGTCTTTCAGCGGAATGTTTTCACATGAGCTATTTCAACATCTTTAAAAAAATCGGCCCTTTTAAAATTATGTCATGCGTGTACATGAATTTTTAAAAACCTGCATAAACTGTAAATAAAGACATATATTCTTAATGAAAAATGCTTAAAAAATCGACTCGATCGATCGATCGAAAAATTCGTTAGTCGAATTTTTCAAGCACTTGTTACTTATTCGCTACTATATAGCGTATTTTCATCAATATTCAGGAAATCTACTAACTATTACTAACCTAACCTAACTTTTTTTTTATACCGAAGGAAACTGACCTTAACATACCGTCGACCTGGGCTTGAGGCCGACTGAACCCGGGCTCTCCCACTGCAAGGGACGGCGGCCTAGTGCAGTGGGCCTACCGTGCAAAACCCCCCGTACTACCCTCTCTCTTGGTCCGGCACCTGGTATCTTAAAATAAGTCCCAGATGGTCCCGGACCGTGAACCTAACCTAACCAAACAGTTAAAAGAGATATTTATACGAATATTTAAACTTTCGATAAATTATATTTGGATCTAAAGTAAAGTAAAGATTTTTTTTAGTCCGTCAGCCAGATAATAGAAAAATATTAGTTACGTTATTTTTTACTTCAATAAAAAAAAAGAAATGGCTGAGATAATATGCACTAAAGTTGATGTGTTTGGGCTTGCTACGTTACAACTACGTAGAAAATGTACAATTGTGTGACGTCTTGCGACATTTCAAGTGAATATATCGCTGTAATTGATTGATTTCACAAAATATACGTCTTTAATATTCTTAAATAACCTACTCGACGGATAGATAAACAAAAATTAGCGTTCATAACTTAAGGAAGCTGGGAAAAAGACTCAGTTATATATCTGTACAAGGTGTAGCTCGTGGTAGTGAACCAGATATTTATAATTATAATAATACTATACATCATCAAGTTGTATTAATTTGAGTAAGTGAAAATTGTGAAAAGTATGGAAGAAAAATTGATGACATAGATACACGTGATCGTCCATAACGAAAACTAATAGTAAGGCGCAGAACATTCTCTTAAAAGCTTGCTCATGCGATTTGGCAATTTAAAATTATACCTACATGTGTGCTCAACAATGCTGCCCTTTCCGATATCTCTTACTAAGATATCATCGCTTAACTTATTATTATTATTCCCTGTATGTTTCCTTAGCTCTCATATATCCATTGTTTCCAGATCCCATCTTAAAAGTTTATAAAGAATTACCCCATAAAATCAATTTAGATGTTAACGGGAGACTGTCAGCAATTCCACAACTCAACTGATTTGGAAACATGATCGAAAAGGATTATGTATTGTTACGATCAAAGATCACATGGTAGAATTTTTTAAATATTCTATTTACCTTCATTGGTGGTATTAAATTCAAAAACATATTTCTCGATTGAGTAGTTAATACTACAAAAAATGTAGAAGCTCAGAAAAATCCACCCACCAGCAACATCCGTAGTTTAAATTCTTTTTAAAAAGTGCATCATTAATGAGTATTTGATTGAAGCTGATATGATATTCTAATTAAATATAACTTATCGAGTATAAATAGAGTCCACGGCTGCTATCCAATATCAATCTCAGTATTCATATAAACAGTAACGTCAACGAGTTATACGTATCCATACAATGTGTACTAAATTGGTGAGTGTTCTGTTATAATTTATTAGAATTATAAATATCACGAGCGTCCTGATTTTCAATTTGATTTTGTGACTCGAATATTGTTTAATTTTAAATTTTCTTGTTCAGTTCATCGTCTGTGTGTAGGCCGCAGTGTCACTGTACTTCGAGTATCTGTCAAGTATAAATCCAACGTTATGCCTCAACTACCCGAACTGTAAAACCGGTATAGTGCCGCGAATAAACCGGTATATTGACAGCAGAGCTTACAACCCGGGACTTGTTCCCGTACCTTTAGAGTAAGTACAATTCAGCTTTAAATCTAAATAATGAGTCTTAATTGCGCTTTCTAATGAAAATATACTTGATGTTTACTTTCATAATCGCCAGCTCATTAATGTTCAGGGCTTCCCTATGGATGGGATCGAATAGGGATAATAGCCAACGACTCAACACGCGGGCCCAGCGCGGATTAGTGGGTATTAACGATTCCGAAGCAGGAGCTCGAGATAACAAAGTTTTGGTCACCCATCCTATGACCGGCCATTGTGAAAGAAATAATCGAGCGCGCTAATCACTGCGCCATCGCGATCTTCCATCATCCATTTATAGATATTAATTTTATGTTTTATTGTCCACAGCGGCTCTGCTGTTGTCACCACTTCACTGAACCCCACCGAAGTCCACCTTACTTATTTACCAATGCTACCCTCATTGATTTTGAAAAAACACTTTTTCGAATGAAAATAGAAATTTTGTAACTAGAAACACTGAAGTTGTTGTGTACTTGAATCGAGACGTTGATATAAATCCGTAAGGGCGCTTGTACACTGAATTTTCAGGTCCGGCGGTTCGATTTTTTCCTGGCCGATATGTCAGGCCATATGTAGGTAATGCTAGCTCGGCACTGTCAGGTATTTTACCGTCCGAAATTTTACTCTTCTCTATTCCGGACCGGTTTTTTTATATCCGTGATGGATAACGTGTTTAAGCTTGTGCACTGCTGTGACCGCGATCCGGAAAATTCATGAGCCTGTAGAGTAAATAAAAGGCTTGGGAAAAATAATATAAAAGGCTTGGGAAAAATAATCGATATTTATTGAAAATTATAAAATGCTATATTTTATATGATGATTTAATATAGTTGGTAAATATCACATATGCCTTATGCCTTGACGAACTCAATATAGTTCTAATTTGATCATCGTATGGTTCTAGTATTGATACTTTGCTAGATTCTAGAAAATTAAAATAATTTATTTGTCTTCGATCTAGCTTTTCGAGAGTAGACTATTTTTGGGATCCAAACACTTGTTGTAAAAACGTGTCAATTTGGGTACTTTGATTATATAATGCCCAGATTCAGTGTCCCATACAAAGCGCAACGATATACAGTGATATACAGCGCGATAGTTTAAAAATGGAAATTTCCGATATATTGATAATCGATATTAATTGTAAAGTATATAATTCGATATTTTGGATGATGATTTAATATAGTTGGTAAATATCACTGCATATGCCTTGATAAACTCGGTATAGTTCTAATCTGAAAATCGTATGCTTATAGTATCGATGCTTTGCTAGATTCTAGAATCATATTAAAAGTATGGATCCCAAAACAATATCGAATCAAAAGTATCAATAACTTAAGGTAAGACAGATAAGTGTTGGTACGGTTCCACGCCTAAGCAACTGAACCCATCTTAATTAAATTTGATACATAAATAGACTTAACCTTGAGATAGGACATAGGCTACCGTTTATCGCGAAAAAGAGGTGGAAATAGGGGATGAAAGTTTGCATGGAAATTTGTCAATATCAAAATTTGTTTTTAGACAATTGATAAGTATAAATAAATATTTGATAACAGAAGTAATAATAAAGAATACAGAAGATTAACAGAAGTAATTGAGTGACACTCAATGTCTTTTTCGCATTTAAGTCTATATTTTAATAAAATTTGTAATGAATGTTTGTGTCATAAATAAATTTATATTCTAAGGGAAAAATATTTCTGCTCAAAGAAACTATACCCCGCGTATAAAATTATGCCTATATATAATACAGTCAACTGATCTCGTAAAGTTCATTTAGCATATTAATTCTCCGCTTACATGGCACTAATTTTGATTTGTTTACGAAATGGCGCCAACGATTGGTCTACCTCTGTGATCGCACGTTTATAAATTTAAACATCAAGTACTAAACCATTATCAGTAATTTTATTCTAATGTCACATATATTTAGCTATTTTATGTAAATAATGCTGTTCCTAAGTTCCTAGTAAGGGTATAAGTTTTTACATCTAATAGTAATCATCCGATAGTAGTAAAAAATGCTTTTGTCTTGCCTCAATTTATTATGGTTTATGTAAAATGATCGTCATTATTTAGGTACCTTTCTACGTCTTCGCACGTAGAGTAACAAAGCAAGCAATTACCGACGTTCCAAAAATCTCATCGTACCTAGCGTAAGTGACGTGTAGCTTCAAAGACAGCTGCCCTACACTGCGCCGCTCCGATCAGGAAAAAAACGGTCACGTGCACAAGCTACTCATCCGGGTTTTTCATGCCATTCCGGACCGGAAAAAGTCGGACCGCCGGACCTGAAAATTCAGAGTAGTGCACAAGCGCCCTAAGTCGTGTTTTCCTTCGATTCGGTAAATCTAAATTAAAAATTACGCGCGATTCAGCGTGAAGAATTAATTTATTTGTGTGACACTGATAAGTAATATTTAGCGTTAAATGCTCCTAATTAAACAATTTATTAATGTTTGTGAAGTAGCCCACAAGTTTCTCGTGTTCAAAAAAACCGTCACAGCGGCAAAACTTTCTAAATCAAGTTTTGGTAAGCAAAGGAATTGTTCATTCTGCATTGGACAGAAGTTTTAAAATTTATAATAGTAATTTAATAAAATTTTTCACACAGCCATATAAAATTGCTTTAAAAGAAGAATTATATACGCTCTATATATTTCAATACCTATCTAATATCATCTGTATTTGCATTTGTAACGTAAAAAAAAGTCTAAACTGCAAATAAATGAACATAAATTATTTATATTTATTTAATTTAATACTCAAGCCGCTTATACAAAAGTAAGTAAGGAAATAAACAAAAACTTTAATAAAGCTGATCTTAATTTTTTATTTGTTATTTCTGAACAAAAAATATTTTAATGAAATTACAATATACTATTTAAAGAAAAACCATGTGAAACTTTTTTCATATTTTTTTAAC